AGACTACCAGAACGCCTTCCGGCCCCGCTGGAAGCACGCGGTTCACCTCACGCGGTGCCCGCTCCGCGTCGTCCAGCGGCTCATGGGCGCCGGCGCGCCCGTGATCCGCTTCTTGGAGGCCTTCACGGAGTGGCCGCGCCTGCGCTACCGGTGCGCCGAGGCCTACGCCTGCGACGCGCCCTGGGAGGAGCGTTTGGGCTGGGCCCGGGGCAGCACAAGAGAGCGACATTCCCAACTTCAAAGGCTCCGATCTCGGTCCTTTTCCACTCGTTTCGGCTGATTTTTGGACGAGCGATCATCTCTCGGAACGGTCTCGAAGCGTGGGTGCTTTTTCCGGAACGCGCGCGCGCGGAACACTCACATTGAAGCGACGTTGAATCACCCTTGTGCTGCCCAGGCTGGGCCGTGGCCGCGTACGTCGCGTGGAACGACTTCGTCGAAAGATCCGCGCACGAGCGGCTGAAGATCGAGAGCCTCGACAGCGCGAAACGCATCCAGGACGTCATGTTCCGGCTCTGCGTGCTCGCCTTTAGCAACCGGGACCGCAAGCCGCACCACTGCGACGAGCGGGTGCTGCGATTGGGCAACGCGACGGCGACGCGCCGGCTGGGCCGTGCTCGCGCGCGGCCACCTCGAGCGCGCGGTCTGGCCGCCGGGCGTCGACGGCCCGGCGACGCTGCGCGCGTTCCTGGCCATGGCCGCGCGCTACGGCTACGACGTCGCGGCGGCGACGGCCGCGCCGGAGATCCACTGGGATCACGACGCGTCGAAATTGCGCGAGGGCCCGGCGCCGACGTTGGCCCCGCTGCCCGCCGCGTCGCAGACGAAGCGGGGCATCGAGACCTGCCTCGCCTCCGAAGCGACCTGCGACCTCTTCGCGCCGTGCCCGGCCGTCGCCGCGCCGCGCGACTGCCTCCGCGCGCGCGTCTTGTTCGGCCAGCCCTACCGGTCGCTCAAGTGCTGCTTCCGCTGCTGCGTGCTCTACTGGCTCGAGTCGACGCGCCTCGGGGCCAACATCCGCTTCCACGCGAAGCGCGAGAAGACGGTGCTCGACGAGGTCAGGGGCAAGCACGACACTGTGTGGGAAACAAGCAGTAGACTGGCCCGGTCCAGCAAAAAACCTCTCTAGCTCGGTCAAATCGAAGTCGTTTCGGCTGATTTTTGGACGAATCGTCATCTCTCGGCGAGTTTCTTTTCCAAAACGCTCAACGCTCGTGTCGGACCTGTTCGATTTCACAGCACACTGAAGTCGTGTTGCATATTTTTGGTTCCTGCCCAGGTACAACAAGGCGAACCCCGACGACGGCGACTACGGCCTCGACCCCCTCCTGAACCTGCTCGCGCACCCCCACGCCTTCGCGGCGATCAGCGACGTCCACGTGCACCCGCGCAAGGGCTGCTCCACGGCCGGCGACCTGACATCGCTGAACCCGATGATCGCGTCGCTCTACCACTATCTCCCGGAGAAGGTCATCACGCCCGAGGCCATCTTCGACGACGTCTGGCGCAAGAACCCCCACTTCGGCCCCTGCGTGCGGGCGCTGCGGGAGGAGCTCTACGGGAACGGCGGCTTCACGAAGCAGGGCGACCCCGTGCGGCACCCGACGGGCAAGTCCGTCGTCGTCGACTTCTTCGACCCGGGCAAGTGGCGGCCCAAGCCCGCGCTCCTGTCCTATCTGGCGCTGGGCACGGCGAACAACGTCGCGAACCTGCCGAAGCACAAGCCGGCCTACGGGCGCATCCGCGAGCGCGTCATCGGCGTCCGCGGCGTCAGCCTCTGGCACGCGTTCTTGGAGCACCCGGCCGTCGACGCGCGCGCCGCGACGCGCGACCGGCTCCTGCTGTGCTGCTGCATGAACGTCGACGGCTTCCACGTCGGACGGTTGGAGCACACGCAGCTCCTGGACCGCTACGCGGCCTTCGACTGCCCCGCCGACGTGGGGAAGAGCCACCACATCCACCAGCCGAGGAGCGACCCGGGCAAGGCCCGGCTCGAGAACGAGATCGCGCTGCTGCTCAACGGGCGCTACGGCACGGTCAAGGGCATGCAGGGCAACTACGACACGCACATGCCCCTCCTCATGCTCCACTCGAAATTCGTCTACTCGCCCAACGGCATCGGCGAGCAGTGCTACCGCGAGTACGAGGCGCTCGTCAGCGGCGCGATCCCGCTCGTCGACGCGACGGCCTACGACCAGCGCAACGCGCTCCTGCGGCACCTGCCCGTGATCCTCGTCTCCAACTGGTCCAACGTGACGCCGCAGTTTTTGGAGCGCGCCTACGCGACGATGTCGAAGCAGAGCTTCGACGTGTCCCACCTCTACCTGCCCTTCTGGTACGACGTCTACCTGACGGCGCTGGGCTACCGCGACGCGGGCTAAGAACTACGCGTCGGGGTCCGGGACGTCGGCCTTGGAGCCGAGCGCGAGGCGCCGGAGCCGCGACGCGACGACGGGCTTCTTCTTCGCGACGCGCTCCATGTTCTCCTCGCGCTTGAGCTTGTCCTCGCGCGCCTGCTGCTCGGACCGCCGGAACGCGCGGATGAGCTTGACGACGTTGTCCTCGAAGGTCTGGTAGTCCCAGTGCTCGTCGTCGTCGTCGCCGCCGTCGCTCGCGTCGTCGTCGCCGCCGCCGCCGCGCCTCGCGATGCCCGCGGCCGCGGCCTGCTCCGACAGCGTCTGGTACGTCGACGCGAGGCGCAGCGTGTCCTGGTACTTGGCCTGGGCGTGCTTGTCCATGGCCATGCCCCGCCGCTTCTTCGCGAAGCCGAGCTGCTCGACCCACTGCGGGTTGTTGACGAGCGTCTGGATCAACGGCTCGGCGGAGACGACGCCGTCGCCCCAGTCGAGCGCCGCGGCGTAGACGAGCTTCGCGACGAGGACCCAGTCGCCCTTGATCTGGTAGCGCTTCATGAAGAACTCCTTGTGGTTGTGCTGGTACTCGAGCACGTCCTTGTCGACCTCCTTGATCTCGTCGGTGAGCTTCTCGCGCCGGTTGTCGTCGATGGCCTTCTTCAGCTTCACCTTGCGGTTGGGGCCGAACATGCCGCCGAGGCCCTCGGACCCCGAAAAAATCCCCGCCGTCGCGTCGCCCACGAAGTTCCCCAGCACGCCGCTGTTCGCGCCCTTGGCCAGGGCCACGCCGAGCTTCGACTGCACGGACTTCATGTTCTTCATGTTCTTCACGACCAGCAGGAACTCCTCGAAGTCGATGAGCCCGTTGCCGTCGATGTCGACCTCGTCGACGATGTCCTCGAGCTTGGACTGGGACATGGGCATGCGCAGCTTCTTGAAGAGCGCCGCGAGCTCCTCGGGGCTCAGGTAGCCGCTCCCGTCCTCGTCGATCTCCGCGAAGGTCTCCTGGAGCCGCCGCAGCGTCTGCTTGTCGAAGCCCTCCGTGGCCGAACTCAGCGCGCTGTAGCCCAGGTGCTTGCGCCAGTAGAGCACGACGGACTTGTAGCGCGTCCGCATCTTCTTGTCGAGCCGGAACAGGTTCGCCTCCACGAGGTCGAGCTCCTTGAGCATGAAGAGGATCTCGAGCTTCTTCATGATCAGGTCCTTGGACGACGACGCGATGCCCTGGCTCAAAGTCTCCGGCACCTTCCTGATCTCGTCCTGGTACTTGGCGCGGACGTGCGCGTTGACGCCGGGCTCGGAGATGAGGTTCAGCATCGCGGCGCAGCCGTGGGCCACGAGCGCCAGGGAGCTGCGGTGCAGCACCATGGTCCACAGCTCCGCGAGCACGTTCGGGTGCCGGCCGCGCAGCAGCGGCACGGCCGGCGGGCCCGGCCTGCCCGTCGCGTCCGGCTCGCCCTCGGGCGCGGCGCGCCGCACGAAGTCCTCCCACTTCATGGGCGTCGGCGCCGTCGGGTCCTTCACGAGGACCTCGACCTGGCCCTCCTTCCGGTGCTTCGCCTTGGCCTTCTTCTCCTTGGCCTCCTTGGCCGCGGCCGCGCGCGCGTCGTACTGCGCGATGTCGAACTCCAACCCCAGGTCGTTCATCTCGTCCTCGAGCAGCCCCAACAGGTGCACGATCCACTCCATGCACGTCTCCTCGGCGAGCTTCCGCTTGCCCTCGACGGTGACGGGCGGCGGGCCGAACTTGGGCCGGTCGGGCACGCACTCGCAGAGGATCGCGGTCTCCGTCGTCCGCACGACGAAGCAGCCCAAAGCGTTGACCTCCGCCGTCTCCGGCACGCCCGTGAGTGCCAAAAGCTCGACGGTGGCCGTGTGGCAGCCCGTGATCTGGCCGCAGAAGAGGGACCGGTAGCTCTCGGGCACGTCGACCTCGCCGTCGGGCAGCCCGTCCTTGAGGTCCTGCTTCACCGTGGGGTCGGGCATGCGCTTCTTGAAGGGGTTGAGCTGCTTGTTGTGCTTCTTGGCCTTGTTCTTCGCCTCCTGGAGCCGCGCCGGGTCCGCCTGGAGCGCCGCGAAGTCCTGCTCGTACTTGTTGTGCGCGTTGCACACCGCGACCTGCGCGGACCTCGAAGCTCCGACCCGACGTCCATGTATGAGAATGGTTCGATACAAGCTCTTCGGCCGCGCTTCGAGAGCTCGAGGAGAATCATCCAAACATGAGCCGCATCGATGCGACCGAGCGAGCGAGTTCCGAAGTTCGGTCGGGACCCCCCCGGCTCGCCGGTCGAGTGCCGCGCGGACCGCGGCGTGGCCCGACGCCTTGTCGCGCGTCTCCCAGACGAACTTGGCGCCGTCGAAGGCGACCTTGCGCGGCTGGGACACGTTCTCGAGCTGGGACACGAGGCGCCCGGCGACGCCCTTCTTCATCGGCGCGTTCTGTAGCGCGTCGCACTCCTCCTCGTCGTAGATGAGCAGTTTCCCCGACGGCGGGCCCGCGTACTTGCGGTGCTTGCGCTCCTTCGTCCGCGTCTCCTCCTCGACCTTGGCGACGTCCACGGTGTCGACCTGGAGCAAGCCGCCGCGGCGCTTCGCCTTGGCGGGCAGGCGCGCGACCTCCGCGCGGTGCGCGGCGCACTCGTCGGAGTCGCGGCCGTAGACGACCTCGAGGTAGGTGTCGTTGGCGTACTCCGAGTCGGACGTCGTCGCCTCCGTGCGCTCGTCGGCGCCGAAGCACAAGAGGTGGCGGCTGCCGTCCGTGACGTAGAGGTCGACGGCGGCCTGCGCGGCCTGCGCGCGCACGGGCTCCGGGTTGTTGCCCAGGGCGCAGGCCGCGACGAGGGGCACGGCCTCGAGGGCGAACTCGCGCTTCCAGGCGTCGCTGCCGACGTTCGCGGTGTCCTCGCCCGCGCCCCGCGCGTTCGCGAGCTTCAACAGCAGCATCAGCGCGGCCTCCTTGGCGAAGTCCGACGCGCCGTCGTGGCCCGCGAGCGCGTGCGTGATCGCGCGGCGGCACCGCGCGTCCAACAACAGATCCACGTAGTCGCCGTGGGCCGCGATGCGCGCGCACGTCCAGAGCGCGCCGTCGCGCCTGCGCGCGAATCAAATCTTCAAATCGACTTCAATGTGGGCGTATTCGCACGGTTTTGACACATCCGCTGTGCTTCGAGAACTCGATGAGAGCCATCGATCCGTCCAAAAATCAGCCGAATCGATTTGACCGAGCTCGAGAATTTCAAAGTTTGGTCGGGACGTCCCGAACCGGCGGTCGATTCGCGCGCGGCGTCGCGCGTGTGCCGCTCCCACGCGGCGGACCCGGCCTTGTTCTTCCGCTGGCCCCGGCCGTCGAGGGCGAGGGCGAGGAGCGGGTGGAGGCCGCCGCCGTCCACCAAGCGCCCGCAGTCCGTCTCGTCGACGACGAGCTGGGCCAATATTTGCACCGCGCTCAGGCGGCTCAGGGGCTGGAGCGGCGCGTTGAGCATGCGCACGAGGAGCGGCACGCCGCCGTGGATGGAGATGAGCTTGGGCTGCCAGATGGCGATGGGGATGAGGCAGCCCGCCGCCGCGAGGAGGCAGTCCGGCGGCGCGTGGCGCAGCACCGTGAGCAAAGGCGGCACGGCGCCCGCGCCCGCGAGGCGCGTCGCGTTGTCCGCGTTGACGCAGAGGGACCGGAGGCAGCGGCAGAGGAGCAGGCACATCTCCGTCTCCCGGGGCTTCCAGGCCGTCGCGCCCTCGGCGTCGTCGTCCTCCTTCTCGCCGCGCTTCTTCTTCTTTTTTTTATCCTTCAATTTCCGCTGGTCGATGGGCTCGTTGACCATCTTCCGCCGGCGCCAGTAGGCGCCCTTGGACGCGTCGTTGTCCTCGCCGTCGATGTGGGTCTGGGCCTCGTGGCGCACGACGCACTGCTGGAGCCAGCTCACGAGGTACTCGACGAGGAGCGGCTCTTTCCCCAGCGCGTGCTGCCGGTGCGTCTGCGTGGCCACGTCCCAGCCGCCGTCAATGCCCGTCTCGACGACGTCCGGCGTCGCTAGACCGTGGATCACGTTCGCCGCCGCGCGCCGCGTCGACCCGGAGTACTGCGGCGACAGCAGCGCCACGAGGCTCGCGAGGCTCGGCCGCTGCTCCTCGTCGAGGACGAGCGCGTCGCGGACGTCGCGCGCCGTCGCGCCGGGCAGGTCGCCGCAGGACCCGTGGGCCAGGGCCTGGATCGCCCGCAGCGCGCGGAGCGCCCGCGCCTCGCACTCGTTCGGGTTCTTGACGCGCGGCAGGCAGAGCTCGTTGCGCACGACGTGGAGCAGCTCCGTGGCGTGCTCGACGTCGTTGGCGTGGCGCTTCGCCTCGGGGATGGGCAGGAACACCTGCGAGCTCTGCGACACCGTCGTCATGGCCGCCGCGGCCCGCCGCCGCCACGGCGCGGGGGGCGGTGCCAACGCTGCTGGGCAGCCTTGGGGCACCGTCTCTGCAATCTGTGTCGAATACAAACGACAAATCGCCCAACTTGACTCGCCGTGCAGCGAGTGCTCTTGCTGCGCGTAAACAAAGGGAGAGCTTGTTCGTCGTGTCACTCTGCCCTTCAGCCCGCGTCGCGACGCCGACCGTCCAGCGCCCTCTGCAAAACCTTATCGCTCTCAAACGACCCTCTGCGCCAAATCCACGATGCTTCGCAGTAGATCGTACAAGAAGGAAAAGAACATCAGCTTCCTCAACCAGTGCCTATCTATGTGCATCAAGGACAGCGCCCTCGACGCGCGCTCGCCCAGGCAGAGCCGCCGGGACCCGCCGCCGTCCAAGCCGCTCGTCCCCGCGGAGCCCGTCCTCAAGCCCCGCGCCGCCGCGGCGCCGGCCGCGGCGTATCCGAGCGCCGAGGGCAAGGAGAACAGCTCGCCCGGCCCGGCCCCGGGGCCCGCCCTCGACGCCGCGGACCACACGTGGGAGACCGTCGAGGCCGACGACGACTTCGTCCTCGTCGACGCCGCCTAGGCCGCGCAAAGCAATTCGAAGGAGCGCGACGAACGCGCGCGTGTTTGTGCTGCACATAGCCCGCCCCTCCCCCGCCTAAGCCCCCGAAGATCCGGAATCAGTGTTAGCCGTCCTCGACGGGGCGGCAGGCGAGGTCCGCGTTGTAGAAGGCCGAGTGGCCGTGGCGCGAGAGGAGGTCGTCGGCCGCGGCGCCGCGGACGGGCGCGGCGCCGGCCTCCTCGTCGCCGAACCAGTAGAAATCTCCGGGCGCGAGGGCCATGCAGATGCTGTAGCGCCCGCCCGAGTCGCCGTCGAACTCCGGCGGCGGGTCGTCGCGCTCGCGCTTGCTGTGGAAGAGCATGACGCCGCTGAGGACGTAGCGGCGGACCCCGCCCGGCGCCGGCTCGCCTCGCTCGAGCGCCGCCGGCTCGCCCGTCGCCGCGTCGAAGTAGAGGGCCTCGGGGATGGCGACGCGGTGCCGGCTGAGGCCGTCGGCCTTGGAGCGCAGGATGACGATCCACAGCACCGTCGGCGCCCGCGCCGCGGACGCGGGCAGGAAGCGGGGCACGAGCTCGTGGAGCGCCGGCCCGGCGACGCCGCACTGCGGGCAGCGGATGCGCTGCGCCGCGCCCGCGGCGTCGTGGAGCGGCTGCGGCGGCGGCCGCGCGCGCAGCGCGTCCGCGAGCGTCGACGCGCGCTCCGCGGGCGCCTGCTGGATCCAGACGTCGTCGTCGGTCTGCTCGACCGCGTGATTGCACGCCGGGAACGTGTAGCGGTCCGCGCGGCCGAAGGGGCCGCAGAAGCAGGCGCCGATCGCCTCGCTCGGCAGGCAGCTCAGCACGACGTGCGCGAGCCGGAACCAGTCCGCGGGCGCGTCGACCTCGAGGGGCACGCCGGCCGCGCCCGCCGCCGCCTCGAGCTCCGCGGCCCACGCGGCCACGGCCGCGCGGCAGGCCTCGCCCCGGGGGTCGCCGGCCGCGTCGTCGGCGTCCATGGCCTCGAAGACGCTCAGGAGCAGGCGCGTCGCCGCCGCGGCGCTCGGCGCCGCGGCGGCGTCGGAGGCCGTCGGCAGCGAGGACGGGCAAAACGGGGGCGGCGCGACGCTCCGCGCCAGCGCGGCGCGCAGGCCAGGGTGCGCCCGGTAGAGCGCGTGGATCAGCGGCGGCAGCGGATGCCCTTTGCGCCGCGTCGGGTGCGGCGCGCGCGCGGCGCGCCGGTAGAGGACGAGTTGCGACAGATGGCTCCGGCACACGGCGCCGGGCACGCCGCGGCGCCGCAGGGCGATGCAGGCCGCGCGGTAGGTTGCAAGGGATTGTGTCGTGTATGTTTTGGGCTTGTGGAGTTTGAGGTTCGTGAGCGCGGCGCTGATTTCGTCGTCATCGTCGTCGAACCAGGGGTCCGGGCTGCGCCAATCGCCCATGGTCGTCGCACAGAGGCTGCCCGACCGATGCTCACATCACCGAGCAAGCACTGTGGCATTTAGCGAACCTTGACATCAAAGTGATGTGCTTCATCGACGCGCCGCCCACCGAGACGATGGACGCGTCCGGCGCCAGCGAGCTGCGCCAGCGGGAGGTGGAGGACGCGCAGGGAACGACGGGCGCGACGGAGCCGATCCTCGGCCGCGTCGACGACAACCCGACGGCCCTGGAGACGAAGTACGTCATGGAGCTGCGCCGCTCGCCCACGCGCGCGGAGCTGCGCGCCGAGGCCGCGGGCCAGCTCAAGGCCGTGCTCGTCGCCAAGGGCTACAAGCGGTCGACGCTGAGCGGCCTCGACCGGGACGAGCTCGTCGATTTGGTGCTGCCGCTGCTGGACCCGGACAACGCGTACTTCGACGACGCGCCGCTCCCGCTCGGCTCCAACTGCTGGCAGCAGCTCGTCCTCCGCTTCCTTTTGGTGGCCGGCGCTTTATCGTACGTCCACGCGCTCCTCGGCCTGAGCGGCTGGTCCTCCGCCGGCGCCTACGGCGCGGAGGCACTCGCGCTCGGCGTTCGCAACTACCGGATCCGGAAGGAGAAGCGGGCCAGGCTCCGTAAGCGCGCTTAGTAGCGAGCGCCTAGTAGCGAGCGCTTAGTAGGACGCGGACCGCGCGCGCGGCAGGGACACGTCCGTCGTCGTCGAGCTCGCGTCGTCGCCGCTCTCGTCGAAGTAGCCCGCGCGCGGCCGGCCGCCGTCCAACGGCGCGAGCGCCGCCGCCGCGCAGTCGAAGGCCGCGATCTTCACGGGCAACTTCCGCCGGCGCCGCGCCGCGAAGGTCGCCTTCAGGTCGCCGGGCAAAAAAGCCGCGACGGCGCCGGCGAGCCGCGCGCGGTCCGCGCCGCCGCCGTCGACGAAGTCGTCGCCGAAGTAGCGCGCCACCGGCGGCAACGTGATCTGCGCTTCGTTCGAGAGGAAAAAGTGCGCCACCACCCGCGCCGCCGTCGCGTCCAGCTGCGCGTCGAGGGTCGCCGCGGCGTAGACGGGCACGCGCGCGGGGCCCGACGCCGCGACGCCCGCGTGTAACGCCAGCCCGAGCCGCGGGTCCCGCCGCTCCGGCGCGGCGAGCGCCAGCGGGCAGGGCCGGTCCGCGACGACGAGCCCGCTGAAGATCGTCGCGGCGCGCGCGCTGAACTTGCGGATGACGCCGTGCTCGAGGTCCGCGGGCGCGACGGGTTTGCCCGCGACGACGTACGTCGCGCGCGACAGCGCGTCCGCGAGCGACAGCACGGAAGGCAACACCCGGTGCTTCAGGAGCGCCACGTCCCGCAGCTCGCCGTCGCCGCCCCAGACGGGGAAGGCGCCTTCGAGCTGCGCGTGCGCGACGACGACGTGGTAGAGGTTCAACGCGAACGCCGTCGCCTCGGCGCCGCGCAGCCGCGCGACCGCGCCGCCGTCCAGCGACCGCAGCGCCGCGCAGGCCTCGAGCGCTTCCTCGAGTACACCCAGGTCGTCGCCCGCCGTCGCGTCCAGAAGCAGCGCGAGCGCCCGGCCCGGCAGCGCCGCGACGTCGGCGGTAGAACTGTTGTCTCCTTTCGTGCAAAACCGGTTGAGGACGACGCGCGGTCCCGCGAACTCGTGGAGGCCGTCGACGTGGCCCGCGGCGCGCGCGGACCAGCGGTAGAGGGCGCCCGTGCCCCCCGCGGACGAGTAGTCGGCGTCGCGGCGGTGCCGCTTCAGCGGCGACCGCGGCCGCTCGCGCGCGCGGCCGACGGCCGCGCGGAGCCGCTCCGCGGCCGCGACCGACGCCAGCGCCACGCGCCAGCGCCGGTGCGGCGTGGCGAGCGTCGCGACGCCCAGGCCCGGCAGGGAGGGGTCCAAACAGACGTCGACGCGGGACACGGACTTGAAGCTCAGCACGTCCGCGAGCGCGGGGCCTGAGGAGAAGACGGACGGCCGCGCGTCGGGCGCGAAGGACGCCGCGCCGTCGTCCACGGAAATCCGCCCCGCGATCCAGCCGTGTGCGAAGATTTCCACGAGCGCCGCGGCGCCGCGGCCGTCGGGAGGCGCGGCCGCCAAAAAGTCGTAGAGGCTGCCCGGCGCCAGCAGCTTCCGCGCGTCGGGCCGCGTCCACCGCGTCGCGGCGAGCGCGCGCCGCCGCCGCTCGGCGCGGACGACGAGGTCGTCGGGCGACGCGGACGACGGCGCGGACGCCGCGTCGTAGGCGCGGAGCGCGCCGCCGACGGCCCTCAGGAACGCGCGGGCCGCGACGTCGCCGTCGACGACGACGGCCGGGGGCCGCGCGACGTCCGACGCCGACGGCGCGGGGGCGAGCCGCCGCGGCGCCGCGAGCGCGTCCTCCGGCGGGTCCAAGTCCATGGCGAACCAGTAGTCCCTACACCCCTCGTCGTCCTCGCTGAAGAGCACGAGGCGCATCGCCGCGTCGCCCCAGAGCCGCGTCAGCGCCATCTCCCTTCCAAACAACGCCGGCAGCTCCACGATCTTCCAGGCCGCGAAGTCGACGAACTTCGTGTACCAGGACAGCGCGAGGAAGCTCGACTCGCGCGCCTCGAAGAGGCGTTTCAGCACGGAGTCCGCGTCGCGCGACGCCGCGGGCCGCACCGACGGCGACCCGTCCGCGGCCTCGAGCGGCGGCTCGACGACGCCGTCGGCGCCCCAGAGCTCGAAGCGCTCCGCCGCGTGCGCCGCGTCGAAGACGATGAAGGGCGTCCCCGACAGCCCGTACCTCACCTCGCACTTCATGAAGCGCCGCGCGAGGCCCAGGAGGCCGCCGACGGTCGCGCGGAACGCGCGCGACGGGGCCTTGTAGTCGCCGTCCTGGAGCTCGACGCCGAACCAGAGCACGCGCGGCGGCGCCGCGGGCGCGTCCTCGGTCAGCGACGCGGAGACGGCGATCGCCGTGCGCGCCTCGCCCTCGGCGCGCGCGGCGAAGCGCACGTGGCCCTCGAGGCAGCGCGTCCGGAAGGGCACGGCGACGCCATTTGCGCCGCAGGGCCGCCGCGCGCCGCCCGCGTCGGCGACGACGCACCGCAGGCCCCCCGCGTCGCCGGCGGGCGCGGCGGCCTTGGCGCCGCGCGCGGCGGCCGGCGCGGTCGCCTTGGGCGAAACGTCGGCGCCGCGCGTCGGCGCGGGTATTGGCGGCGCGACGTCCGCGTGCGCCTCGGCGGCGAGCGCGAGCAGCGCCGCCGAGTAGAGCGCCAGGGCCAGGGCTGCGAGCGCCGGCGACGGCGACGCCCAGAGCACCGCAGCAGCGGCGGCGACGAGCAGCGCCGCGGGCCAGCGGCGGCTCTGCGCCGCCGCGAAGGGCTCGGCCCAGGCCGCGAGCTTCGCCATGGTTTATTGCGGGTGGCGCTTCAGTGGTAAAGAGTCATTGCACCGGCGCACACTCACGTCAATGGTGGAGACATCGCATCGGCTGTGGTAAGAGCTCGATGTTGAATAGCTGATGAATAGCACCGGGGTCGTTGTTGCAGGCACTGCCGCGTCGCTGAGGATACGCGGAGTGTGGGCCGCGCGTTTCGACAGCGCTAGGGAGAGTGGTTGCTGGCGGCGTCGCGCTCCGTCGCTGCCGTCTGCCCCCCCTAAGCTCCGTCCCCCGGACCCGAAGTCGCCGCGGCGCGGCGGCTTTGTAGCGGCGGCGGTGCGCGCGCGGTGAACGTTTCGTGCGGCGTCGCGAGGCCCGAGCGGTCGCAGCGACACCATGGGGGCCGGCGCGTCGATCCCCGCGGAGCTGGACAAGGATGCGGCGAAGGAGTGCGCGGGAACCCAGTGGAAGGACGAGTACGACAAGCTCTTCGACAAGATGGCGAGCAACGGGCGCATCACGCGGCAGCAGTTCCTCAAGTCGGCGCCGCTGCAGCGTTTAGAGCAGCGCCACTCCATCTTCAACCACATCGACGTGCACGCGCCGACGAACAAGAAGGACAGCGACGAGCGCATGCTGCGGCGGCCCACGGCGGCGGCGAAGCCCCAGAACAAGGACAAGAACGCGGCGCTCGCGGCCAAGGCCGCGAAGGCGCGCGCCGAGGAGTCGAAGATCGCCGAGGGCGACGAGGACGAGGACGAGGGTGAGGTGGACGAGGCCGAGTTGATCGTCGACAAGGACACGGGCAAGAAGCGGCGCAAGAGCGACCTCGAGATGGCCATCGAGGTGTCGAAGACCATGGAGGAGTACGCCGAAAAGCGCGACTTCGACATGGGCAAGTTCGTCTCGAAGCTCGTCAAGCACTACCCCGACATGAAGCGCGTCAAGGAGGGCGACTCCATCAACTCCTCGGACACGAAGTTCGACAAGCTCATGGAGAAGGGCTGGCCCGGGACGATCAACGTCGAGCGGTCCTACGACGGCCCGCACCTGACGATCAACGACAAGAAGTCGCAGGCCCACGACAAGGGCAGCGGGCCCATCTCCATGGACAGCATGTACGACCTGGCGAGCCACTACTTCGATTTGCTGAACCCGGAGGAGAAGAAGACGCGGGGCACGGTCTTCAAGAAGAAGAAACGGCGCCCGACGATGCTCCACCCGAAATACGTGCTGACGATCTTGGCGGAGTACCTGAAGGTGCTGCGCGACGTGCCCAACGTCGTGCGCGTGTCGACGGCCGTGTCCCAGTCCGTGACCATCGTCGGGGACCTCCACGGCCAGCTCCGCGATTTGCAATTGATCTTCGAGCAGAATTCGATGCCGTCGTCGACGAACCCCTACGTCTTCAACGGCGACCTCGTGGACCGCGGCACGCACTCGCTCGAGGTGTGCATCATCCTCTTCGGCCTCGCCGTGGCGGACCCGACGTGCGTGCGCATCAACCGGGGCAACCACGAGGACTACTCCGTGTGCGATACGTACGGGTTCACGGACGAGATCTTCACCAAGTACCCGGGCAAGATGGGCATCGAGATCGCCGAGCTCTTCGCCGAGGTCTTCGCGTTTTTACCGATAGCCACGGTCATCGACGACTCCGTGCTCGTCATCCACGGCGGCCTCGGCCGCTACGATCTCGAGTACCTCAACGGCATCGCGCGGCACCACTTCAAGACGCTCCAGGGCGTGCCCGAGGAGCTCTGGGAGGGCGAGGACTACGGGTCCATCAAGCACGACGAGTGGCAGGCGCTCATGGACGCGCTCTGGTCCGACCCCCAGGCCTGCAGCGGCATGGAGCCCAACTACAAGCGCGGCGCGGGCGCGACGTGGGGGCCCGACTTCACGGAGAAGTGGCTCGACAACGAGGGGCTCACGGAGCTCATTAGGAGCCACGAGTGCGTCGAGTTCGGCTACGAGATGCACCACAACAACCGCGTCATGACCTTGTTCTCCGCGTCCTGCTACTACGACGGCGAGAGCAACTGGGGCGCGTACGCGCGGCTGAACTCCACGACGAAGGACAAGGACACGGACGAGGTCGTCAACAAGAGCTCCGTGACGCTCCACCAGTACTGCTGCGAGGAGGACATCTCGAAGATGGCCAAGTGGCAGAAGCACGACGCGGCCGAGGTCACGAAGGCGTCCGTGGAGCGCATCCGCCTCATCCTCTACGAGTACAAGGAGCGGCTCCGCGAGGAGTTTTCCAAGCTCGACGTGAAGAAGAGCGGCTCCATCACCAAGACCGAGTGGGCGCGCACCATGAGCCACGTCGTCGCCATCCGCCTGCCCTGGCTCCACCTGCTCCAGCACTTTATTCCCGCGAACCAGGCGTCGGGCAAGACCGTGGAATACCTGCCCTTCATCGAGGAATTGAACGCGTCCTTCACGTCCGTCAAGTCGTCCATGGAGGTGCCCATCCCCGAGTACATCTACCGCAACCTGCCGGAGCTCGAGGCCGTCTTCCGCCTCATGAACGTCGACGGCACGGGCGTCGTCTCGCGCGCGGAGTTCGAGAACGCGTGCGACTCGCTGTCCATGGCGTCCAAGTCGCAGATCAGCGCGGAGGAGAAGGAGTTCCTCGTGCAGCAGCTCGACCCGAACAACACGGACCAGATCTCCTTCGTCGACTTCCTGAACTCGATCCGCTACCAGTACATGGACACGGGCACCGCGGGCGAGGGCGCGGACCTCAGCGACCAGCCCGCGCTCACGGCC